CCATATCTTTCTAATTTTCATTACTATATTTTCTCTCTCGTTCTTTTTGCTTATATCTATCCATTTATCTTTTGTTTATTACTTTTTTTGTGCTGAAACACGTACGCAGAGACCTGGTGAATGTTTCACTTTAAAATAAAAAAATATGAAACGCGTGGGCGAATTCAAATCGATGTTTATTTTTTATTTCGATATATATCGGTTGTCGAAAATCAGAAGTTAAGACTAGTAGACTAAACATGTCTTTTCTTTAACAGATAGGATCAGTCTGTCTATCGATTAACTCACACCTTCATTCCTCTAGGAAGATGAATAAATTCTATTTCTATGTATGGTATTAATTTATAATTAATAATAATTTAATCATTAGTATTCGATATTTTTTTAATAAAAATTATTGAAAAAAAGCGATGCTATACAACTAAAAATGATTATATTATTGATGATATTTAACGATTTAATGCTTCATCTCATATTTTTATTTCATGCATTTCTGAAGTTATGAAAAAATAAATAAATAAATTAAGCTGTTATCGATTTCTTTTTCTTGTTTAAATTATGTTATTTCAACAAATGTTTATTGGAAGAAGATAAAAGAACAACAATCTTATAAATATGCATATATAAATTGATAGATCAAAGTAGGATTCGAACAAACCGAAAAGATAATATAAATTCACAAAGAAAAGAGGTGATGTTGTATTCGAAAGATATTATCTGAAAAAAAACCAGCGAAAGAGAAAGAGAAAAAAAATAGGTAGTAAAAGGACTGCGTCATATAATATATACGTTTTTTCTCCAACATCAAACAAAGAATCGAAAGAAAAGACAATTGTATAGTGCGGCGTGATGAAAAATAATGTGAGAAAGGCATTCATCCATGACCATCTCATAGCCATGTGTATGGATTAGTGTGGTTGGTCTATTCACATAGGTAAATATTACTTGGAAAAAACCAAGTAATCTTATTGAATATTAGTATATAAGGTGGCTTGCTCCCTATACAGACAAAAACAATTTCAATACATCCCAGCATTAGTTGCTATCGTAAGTATACCTAGTTATTTATTTGTCGCTTTGTCCACGTAATGCGACACTTCAGGCATTAGCATGTATTTTAGAACTCAAAGTAAACGTTTATATTGCGTTGTAGAGTACTAAAGACTAGTAATCCGAGTGACAGATTCGATGGGGTCCGATAAAAATTCTATACTTAAATTAGGTAATATTAACTCAAAGTTTTAATACTTTACTCACCAGTCTTTTATTTTTTAATAAGTTATATAACTATTTCAGTAAGATACTTACTCTTGAGCATTGATGATCATATTGATCTGAAATAAAGAAAAAAGATTATTTAATTGTTTTAAGATACTTGGTGTTCAACGGTCGACGTTGAAATCGACCTAAAATATAGACACAAAATTTATCCACTCAAATAAGTAGCATGATTAAAAAAGAGATTGAGACATCGCGTTTGATTAATTAGCTTCATGCATATGTATATATCACGTAACCAGATATCCAACATTTTACTTTTTTTTTATAATCATGGTTCAGAACGTTTATTGAGAATGATAACCTGTTCATTCTTTATACAGTTACAGAGTAGACCTACTGACATCGATTTTATCGGGTATTGTTAAATCCGACGTTTTCCAACAGTTGAATACCAGTAGATTCTATCATCGGAATTCGAGGATATCCATGTATCTTGATGTGAAGCTCGAAGCCCACTATCCAATGGTGTTTAAACTATCATGCATGATCTTTCTCTTGGAAACAGAATAAACTTTTTCCTTTTTCTTCACATGAAGTTATTCTCAAAATATTACTTGATCAGTACCACTGTAACAGCATTACGAAAATATCTTGTGGGTAAGTGTGGGTGATCAACTTAACAGTCACACCCACACTCACACCCTCAACTTTCGCCGTAACTCCACGTTGACAGATTGATAAGTTTTTACAAATCACAATTATATTAACAAGCTGACACAACAGAATAAAAATAATAAAACAAATAGTTTTCTTCATTCTATTTTCAGATCAAGCTCATATAGGACAAGCCCAAACTTCTGCTGCACATTTAAATGAACGAAACGAGATTGCATGAGTATTTATACGGGGTGGGTCCGTCCGGAATAGTATGGTTTGTCATACAGGAAGCCGGTCTACTTTTTTGTATTATCGGTTGTGCTATTGTCAGCATTATCATATTCGCTTGTATTCAACCGCTATTTCACCGTATTAAGGCTCGTTGTAGTGAAGATAATCGGACAGTAGTAGGAGTACCATATCTACCTTCCATTTCATTGTCTCGAGGGGGCAAACACATTGGAGAACAATTGTTCAAAGGTCATATGATGAAATGTGTTCCATGCTTGCGGTCGAATAGTACAAGAATAGATGCAATTCCGTATGAAGAGGCGATGCTAATCGCACCAAGTGACAATGGTCTAAGTAATCGGTATGTAAATAACATATATTTCACCTAACAAAAGAGAAAGCGGGTAGAATGTGTAGTAATACTGCAGCCGAACTAAAAAACAGTACTAGATTTTTGTACACGTGCAAATAATGTGCATTTCCGAGGGAAACCATTTTCTCGCTTTTTCCACATTATCTCGCACTAGCTACGAAAACAATAGAAAACCGCTTATACCCCTCTGTAATTCTTTTCTTGTTCTTGGATACGGCTTTTCTGCTGCCTTATTTAACGTCTGCTTCTTAAGCTAAGATTCATTTTTTTAAAGTCATTCCGTATTTCGCAGTTTTCTTATTTCAAAAATAAAATCTTTATGTTGGTAGAAGTAAATCGTGAAGGATGTATATTACGTGTAGTATTGGAGAGAGACAATTTCAAAAATACTCGTTTCTGGAAAATATTTAATTTTTCAACTTTGACATTGTTCTAACTATCTTTTCTTTTCGTTTTTATTCCTGCAAAGTCAACCAGGCATATCACAATATTTCTCATGTGACAGAATCTCTGGGTGGGTTCCAAAGGAATTCAAAACAGTTCAAGATATCAAAAGACGATTAGTAAAAGATAGTGAAAGGATGATATGGATTGATTTTAACGGTGATTGTAATCAACAAATAATTAATGATCTTGGAGAATACTTTGACATTCACAGTTTGGTCCTGAAAGATATAATAAAACCTAAACAACGTACAAAACTTGATCGATTCGATGAAGATGATGCAAAATTTATCGTGTGCCAACTAATGTATGGTGATCCGGAATTAGACAATCTTTCTATTGAAAAAATTAGTTTCTATGTAGAAGAAAATCTTTTAATAACATTTCAAGAAAGGCGAACGAATTTATTTGACACAATTAAAGAATACATTTGTAAAAGAGAAGTAGAAGGCACAATTCTAGTGTCAGAAATCGATTATATATTTTATTTGTTGCTCGATATTATTGTCGATCAGCACGAGATAGCTCTTGATGTACTAACAAGGAGACTTGCACCTTATCACAATCAGTTAGTAAGAGTATTGAGAAGCGACACTCTGAAACAAATCTACAATCTGAAACAAGGTCTTATCTATTTACAAGATATGATTTTGTCATTAGAAACAATCATTATGACGTTGCAGACGGAGGAAAATACTCAGATAATAATGGAACACTCAACAAATATTTATTTCAAACACCTATTCAATCGCGTAGTGCAACTCAAAAATTCTATCCACGTTTCACGAGAAATATTGGTTTCTTTCTTTGAAGTTAATACAATGTACTTAAATACAGTGGTCAAGGAATTAGCTATTATTTCGACAATCATTCTTGTGCCCGCTATTATATCTGGAATTTTTGGAATGAATTTCGATAATATGTATGTATTGCGTAGACCTCATGGGCAAAGAATTAGAATTTATTTTCTGTTTCATTTTTCTTTGTTTAACTTTAGACCTCTAACAAAGAACGAAAATGGATTTTACATCATTCTAGGAAGTATAGTGGGACTTGTACCATTTGTATTGGCTATTTTTTGGTGGTACTTTTGGCTTTAATTTTATAAGCAAATTTATTCTCATGATTAACAATCTTTTTAACCACGACAATATGAAAAAGAATTTATTTTTAATGGCGAGAATATGAAATAAAATTTATTCAAAATTATTTAAACTCTTATTTTAAAGTTCATCGCAATTCGGGTTAAATAAACTTCGATATCGTGAATAGTGTACAATAGTGTGTCTGTTTTTAAACATGCATCTAGATCTGCCTATACTTTTTTCTTTTTTTTTGAAAGTGCACCAGCACCCAGTCATTCAATATCCCCCTCAAATCTAGAGTTTCTCTGTGTTGAGTAAGAAAAAGAACGGCCACCTAACAGGCTGTTTAAAGTAATTAACAGAGAGAAAAGAACTATATTTACTCAGTACTATGAATTATTCTCACTGTACCAATAAAAAAAAGAATAATTTATAGGAGAGAATGAAGAAAAAAGATAGACAAATAAATGATTTCGAGACATATTAACACAATATGAAACAGATCAGTGTGTTAATATGAAAAGAAAATACTTCTCAACTTAACTCAACTCAATTGAATGAAATGAAAGGAGTGTATATATAGTGTCATCAACGGGATGCACAATGAAAAGGTAAAGCATAATATATTGTATTTACCTAACACCCAGAGCCACATCCACACCCTTTGTACCACTAGCGGATAATCATTTGTCTTATGCTACTGACAGACAAACACCGATGAGTATCACTTTTCAGATTCTATTCTTACAAGCTAGGAAATAAGATATAGTGTACAATGATAAAGAGGAATACATATGTTTGTAATTTTCCAATTATTGTGTAAAATTTCAAGAAAAAGTGAAATCAAAATAAAAGCTTTTTGAACAAATAAGTGAGAAAATATTAATATGAAATATGTTTGTAAGATTTTATAGTTTGAGAAATTTTTGAACACGTATATTACCTGAATCGGTAACATACATATTCATTTCTGCATCGAACTCAACACCTCTTGGTCCATTGAATTCTGTAGTACTATTACCCGCAATGCCAGTACCAGCAACCGTGATAGCAGTTTGATTGTTAGCACAAAAAAGTTGTACTCTATGATTACCACTATCAACAACGTACATATTTAAATATTTGTCAAGTTTAATACCTCTCGGCTGATTTAAGAGAGTCGAATTGGAACCTGCGACACCTGGTACACCGGCGACGAAGAAACCTGAAGAAGCACCAGGTATCCACCGTATTACTGAGTGGCCAAGCAAGTTTGATATAAATAACGTATCACTTATAGATGGCAAATAATCGATACCACCTGGCCCGTTCAATGATGTGTTCGAATTATTACCTACGTCTCCGCCAGCTACGAGAGATCCATTATTGCCTGTGGTTGAATTCGTCAAATATTTCATAGTACGATTATTGCCATAATCATTGACATAGAAATATGTGTCTGTTGAATCAAAAGTAAAACGTGCTGGACTATTCAACAGATTTAATTCGAATCCTGGTGTACCACTTAAACCAGCAATCGTAATTCCATCTGCTGATCCGTTGATATATTTTTGTATGCGATGATTTAAAAAATCGGATACATACATGTTACCATATCTATCAACATAAACATCTTGAGGAGAATTCAACTGAGTACTGTTCGATCCGGGTAATTGACTAATCCCAACTGCAATTGTTGCATTTGTAGCATTAGTCAATAATTTCCATACGACGCCAGCATCCGTTACATATAAAGTATTATTTGAGTCAATGTATAGACCACGAGCAGATGTTATTTGTGATGAATCGAGTATAGTAATTCCTGTTGTATTCCAAAGCAAATTACCAGATATACCTGATAACAATACAAATAGAAAATCAACAATATGTTGTTCACAACAACTACAGGCACGTGCCCAGAGTTTTTTTTAGAGGAAATGGGACGTGGAGTCGTAATGGAGAAAAAGTATTTTTTGACTTGTAAAATACTAGTCAACTCGTATTCTCCTGTAGGCATTTAAATCTCTCAAGATAGCTGTACTCAGTAGTGATCAATCGCTTTTTGAGTCGGAACTTCACGCATCTAGTAGACCTCGGTGAAATATGTTTACCGTAAAAGATTAAGTAATAAGTGTGAAACAAATACAATTTAATTTTGATTTTTTTGTTAGAAGACCAATTTACGAAAACAACGATACTTGATAAGGTTTGTGAAAACGAGGAATCCAATTCTATTCATGCATTTTTGGAATTTGTGAGACTTTAGAAGTGCCTTAGAAAAAGGCTATTTTTCAAAAATAACGATCTTTTATAAAGTAACCATCTCACCATACATATTCTTCGATCCCGAAAGTCTTCGATCAATTTGTAAATGTGATTTTTTTGAAATTAAAGTATTTAATTAGCATGCTACTTTAACTTTACTAACCGTTAACCGTTATTATTACTAACTAACTCATCTTGAAGGTGTGGGTGTGAGTCTGGGTGAGAGGGTGGATGTTGCATTCTTCCTCTGTCAGCACCCACAGCCACACCCACAAGATTTATTATAACAAACGAATGAAATCTTGCTGTGAACAAGTCATCGATCCGAACTCTTTTTACAGTAAACAAATTTCACCAAGGTCTACAAGATATGATAAATTCCGATTCAAAAGCGATTGATCAGTTCTGTACATTCTCTCGTTGGTACTATTCTACTTAATGTATGATTTTTTTTCTTTGCTTGAACAAACGAACAATAATATATCTGCATTCTATCTCCATTAGTGCTCATATTCTCGCTCTACTTTATTTTATTGACATCAAGCCCTTATTCTGTCCTACTCAACAGGATATAGCAACCCTGTATATCTCCATATTAGATGTTATGAATGTCGTCGTTTCGAATGTACGATCCAGAATTATAACGTTAAAGATATCTCACTTTAATCAATTAAAATTTTATTTTCACTTACATGGATTTGCAGTTGTACTAAGTGATGTAGTACTGCTCGTGGTTGTCCGTGATGTAGTACTACTCGTGGTTGTACGTGATGTGGTGCTGCTAGTAGTTGTGGCCGATGTGGTGCTGCTTGTAGTTGTGCGTGATGTGGTGCTGCTCGTAGTTGTGACCGATGTGGTGCTACTCGTAGTTGTACGGGATGTGGTGCTGCTCGTAGTTGTGGCCGATGTGGTACTACTCATGGATGTGCGCGATGTGGTGCTGCTCGTAGTTGTACGGGATGTGGTGCTGCTCGTGGTTGTGGGCGATGTGGTGCTGCTTGTTGTAGTACTGGAAGTAGCACTGATACTGTGTACATAAAAAGTATATTGAGTTATTTTTAGCAAAAATTCACAGAAAAGTGGAAAATGAAAATGAAATCTGTTTTAATGGTTAGAAAAACTGAACATGTATTATGATTTGAATTATATTCACTCTCCTTTCATTATCACGAATGTTTTATATATGTGATAGTATCTGCAGGTAGGTGCTGGTATTACAACTAGTTTTCATCCCCCCCTCCCCAGCCACCCCATACTCACACCCAGTCTTTCAAATCCAATTACTCAAAGGTCCTTATCCATCAATATTCAAGATCAGAAAACACAAAACTTTCTACGTAACGATTGTTAGTTCTCAAGTTTCTAATTGGAAAGTAAATTGCAATTGAAACCTACGTGGATGTTTTTATTGTATTGGTCGTCATAGCTAAAAGAAAATGAATGAATACATTTAGACATTTTGATAAGAAAGAAAAGCAAAGCTTTTATAAAATATGTTAAAATGAGAGTGTGGCTATGAGTATTGAATCCCTGAATGAAAAAGCTATTAGAAAAGTGGTATACATTTGATATGGCACTTTAACTTTACTTTAAAAGTTGAAGTAGACTACTTTTCCAGAAAGCTTATTCTCCACTATTGTCAGCACAAAATATAGTGTTGTTCGGAGAATATGAAAGAACACTATCTAATTGGTCTCTTTTATCAAACTTGAGTTTATGGCTGTCCATGTTTTTTTATAACTTGAGCCTCGTGACAAGCATATAAACGAATTTAATTTTTTTCATATGACTTCCCCTTCAGTCGAAGAAATAGTATTGATAAAAACTGATATAAGATCGCTAATACTGATGCTTGATTAACTTAAGTGAAGTTTTTAATAAAAATACAGAAATGTGCAGAATTTCAACCTCTAGCTTTCTAAACTAATGAAAGTCTAAGATAAGGAGTGGAAGATTTTTCTTTTCAACAGCTATAGAAAGCATTTATCATTCTGTCTACCACTTACGTTTTTCTGTTGAAATTGTTAATGCTGTATCAGATATTTTTAGGAATGGTTCGGGTGGGAGCTGCTGACAGGAAAACGATCCATTGATTGTTGCTATAAAATAGCCAGTGTTCGATGAATAGTTGCTAATTAACTGGCATGTACCATTGTTCGTCATACAGTTCCATCCAACGGCATTATCCATTAGAGCAGCACATGTACATTGAGTGCATGTCATGTTTACAAATATTTTATTAACATCCACTGTATTAAAAACCATGCTAGAAATGACTCTAATGCTGACCGAGAAGGTCATGTCAACATCAAGCAACAATATTAATAACAAATAGCTATTGACTAAAGAATAAAATGATCTGCAACAAGCCATCGATTATAGTTGTTTCCTCACTTCGTCTATTATCGTATGATCTTGAAAAACTTTGATCTGAAATCATAAAAAACTAAAATATTTCACATGTTACAGGATCTTACTGATAAGATCAATAAGGCCAGTTTCTCACTGACGTTTATCTTTCTATAGAGTGCGGGTATTTACTCCACTAAACCTCACACTTACATCCACTCAAAACTCATTCATAAAGAAAGTACAAAAACAAATAACATATATATAGATATACTATATCAGCTATGGGATCTTACGAAATAAAAATAAATTCACATCACATGATTCAATATTATTATTCATATTCCTCATTTTTTTCGACTTTGTTCTAATACGTATGTTTGAGTCAAAATATATTTATAACATTTTCACAGGAATAATGAGAATTCATCCTTATTTTAAATTCAGTATTCACTAACTCCACATCTGTTTAACTACGATAATCTGACTGAAAAGACTTTCAATTTCACTAACACAGCAGCGATACAAAATTTTGAAAAAAAAGAAAAGTCAGAAAGAGCTTCAAATTTCAGAAACCTTTCTGACTTTTTTAAAAGATCTGGTCACCTTGCGTATAACTAACATTAAAATCCTTTTATAAAGTGGCTGAAAATAACTGAACTCAAACGTTTAGACTAGCTGCCTGCCTAAAGTATACATGATTTATATTATAAAATACTGAAATGAGAAGAACATTATCAACAAACCTTATAAATATGAAAAAATGGAGCAAAGAAAATAACGTCGTGACATATATTATATTCTAATGCGATCACTGAGAACATAAATCTCAAGAATGATTGCTTTTTTCTATTCTTATTCACATTTATTACTAAGTTTCTCTTTCAATTTGAAAAAATATAAAACTCACTCATGTACTCGAAGAAAGAAAAGTATGGATATTAAATTGCCATTACCGAAAATTTCACAAGAAGCTGTCAATCAAGAAATGTATTTATATCAGTACTCTCTGTTTTTTCAAAAAATAAGGCTCTTTGATGTTTTGTTATATAGCTGATATAAAATTATGACGAGACATATCAATAGTAAATTATTCTAATTGGTTTATTGAATAGTTTTTTTGGTTATTTAGTTTTTCATAATCGTAATTCTCGTAAAGTTGCCTCGGGAATTTATCTTCAATTATTTCTATACTTGTTATTCGTAAAATCCTTCGAGTTGGATGTTTATTATTTGAAACAATGCTTCGTTTTTTTCTACACATGAATAATTGGCTTAATACTTGTGTAGGTATCGATAGAGCAATGACAGTTTTTCAAGGAACTACCTCTAATAAGAAAAGAAGTCAATGTATTGCATGATGGATTATGAATTTATTCATCGTGATTTGTTTGATGATTATGAAGAACGACGTGTTTGGTGTGTACTTCGTTATTCTCAATCAATTGAAACATATACTACAATTGTTCAATATTATCATTTTATTGCTCCGTTTTTAGTGAATTTAATTTCAGCTGTTTCTATTATTGTATATATAACTCGTCTAAAAACGATTATTCGATCTCAATTTAGTTATCAACAACAATTACTCGATCAAATCAATTATTACAAACAACTTGTTATCAGTCCTATTATATTAGTTATTCTATTATTTCCTCGCTTTCTTATTTCATTATTATCAACATGTATTAAATCATCTCGAAATTCTTGGTTATATCTTTGTGGTTATTTTTTTTCGTTCATTCCATCATCTTTTTTGTCTTTATAATATTTGTTTTACCATCGACTTTCTATAGGAAAGAATTCATAAAAACAATTATCAGTTGGAGACAACGATTCATGAGAATGTTAAGACAGTGATACTCTTGCAACATTAACTAATTTTAAATAAATATTGTTTAGTTGCTTTTAGATAGTTATATATTTATCGATTTCTTCTATAAATCTTAATAAAAAGTGAAAATATCGAAAACTAAGACGGATAGCTCCAAATATTATTCTGTAGGGAGATTAAAAAAAAGACAAGCAGTTCAATTTCAGTGAAATATCTATATCATTTAAAAAGAAAAATTTGAAAATGAAATATTTAATTATTTCCGAATAGAC